TTTGTTCACCAACCCAAGAGCTATCCAAACCCCTCTTTTTAGGTATCTATGGAGTCTTCATCACATAGGCAAAGTTGATTAAATCATTGGCTTCTGGTGATTGATTCAACCTCTAGCACCTTTCCCCTCCCCAGAAATCAAGGGGTGGGACTGAAAGTTCCAACCCTCTAAGCACCTGGGTCACCAGAGTTTGGTTCCCCTAGCAACCAACCTCAATCCTTAGGTGACCCAGTAGCTTTCCAAAAGTCACCTCATTAACATAACAGGAGACACCCTCAGCATTCTCATCACTTAGGAAATCCCAAGTGATGAGATCTAATTTAGGATCTCTGTGTTAGAAACTGGGCAAGGACCAAATACATATTTCCTATAACTCACAATACCATTAATATTTAAGACATCTTGGCAAACCAAGAATAGGGAAAAACAATAAAACTTCCTTAGCCTGATTGTGTCTACAAAAATCTATAGCTAATATAATACTTAATAGTAAAATCTTGGAAGTTTACCTTTGAGATCAGAAACAGAAGGAAATTTTCATTATTATTTCTTTTCAAATTGTATTGATGTCATAGGCAGCATAATAAAACAAATTTTTTTTGTTTTTTGTTTTATTGTGTAAGTATTAGTAGGGAAGAAACAAACCTGATCTTATTTATAGGTAGCATGATTTGGCACATAGAAAAATCCATTAGAATTAATGAGTTAAGCAAGGTTGCAGCAAACAAAACTCAACATAAAATTTCATTTTATTTTCTACACCAGCAACAAAGTCATGGGAAATGTACATTTAAAAATATATATATCATTTATAAAAACAAAAATTATCAAGTACCTAGGAATAAATATAACAAGATGTGCAAGTCCTCTGAGTCAGTTTCTTCGTGGCTGCTGTAATAAATTACCACAAACTTGACAATTTAAAATAACAGGCAGAATTTGTTGTCTCATAGCTCTGGAGGCCAGAAATCCAAAATCAGTATCACTGAGTTGAAATCAAGCTGTTGATAGGGCCACACTCCCTCTGGAGACTCTAGGGAAAAACCTGTTTCTTGCCTCTTCCATTTTCTGGCAGCTGCTTGCATTCCTCGGTTTGTGGTTGCATCACTCCAATGTCTGCCTCTGTAGTCAAATTGCCTTCACATCTTCTGGAATCACATCTCCCTCTGCCTTTCACTTGTAATGATACATTTAGGTCCTGCCCAGAGAATCCAGGATAATCCATCTCAAGATCCTTAACTTAATGCATCTGCAAATATCCTTTTACTACAGATGATAACAACAACAGAGTCTAAGGATTAAGACCTGATATTTTGGGGGTTCATTATTCAGACTACTACAGCCTCTATGGATTAAAATTACAGAACTTAGAGTCATTAATGAAGACAGAGAGATGTGCTCAAACCATCACCAGAGTCTGGAAGGCTCAATATTGCAAAACTGTCATTTCTCCCATAATTCATCTATAAAACAAATGTAATCCCAAAAAAATCTAAGCAATTGTATTTCTGCAACTTGTTTCTAGAATTTCTATAAGAATTAACCCTTGAACAATGTGGGAGTTAGGAGCACCAACCCCCGCTCCTCAGTGCAGTAAAAACTCCACATAAGACCTTTGACCCCCAAAAATGTAATAGCCTACTGCTGACTGGAAGCTTTACCAATAACATATACAGTCAACACACATTTTGTATATGTGTTATATACTATATTTTTACAAGAAATTAAGCTGGAGAAAATGTATTTTCAAATTGTTGGAATTCCAAACATTTTTCTAATATATAGTTACTGAAAAAAATCCCTGTGTAAGTGGACCAGCACAAATTAAACCCAGGTTTTTCAAAGGTCAACTGCAAATGCACAAGGAAAATAACTAAATGATTCTTGAAGAAAAACAGAGCAGAACTGCCCAATATCAGATATCCTTATATAAGGTACATAATGCACGCAATGTTGAATTAGTACAGAGACAGACCCTTGTAACCTCTAGTCCACTTTTTTCTATACAACTTTGCTCATTAAAAATATTCTCTAAATAGAATTATACAATATTTGTACTTTTATGTCTAGCTTATTTCACTTATGTTTTCAAGATTCATCCATGTTTTGGAATATAACAGAACCACATTCCTTGTTAGGACTGAATAATATTCCACTTTATATATACACCACATTCTATCCATTCATCTGTTGATAGACACTTAGGTTGTTTCTAACTTTTGGCTATTGCAAATAATGCTGCTGTAAACATTGACAAACATAAGTATTTGTTTTAAGTTCTTGTTCTCAGTTCTATCAGTTATGTACCCAGAAGGGAATTACTGGATTACATGGTAATTGTTTAACTTTTTTTAAGAACTGCCATACTGTTTTCCACAGCAGCTGCACTATTTTCTAGTAATGCATTCTGGCTTAAAGTCTATCTTGCCATATTAACATAGCTCCCTCAGCCTTCTTTGGATTAGGACTTGCCTGGTGTGACTTTCTCCGTCCATTCACTCACATTCAGCTTTTCTGTGGCGGTGTTTTAATGCGTCTCCTACATTTTTTGTGATTACTCCCAATATGCTTGGATTAATCTTCCAAATTCCATTTTTTTCTATTGTTTTGGAAACCATATATTTTAGTGATCTTCTATTTA